AATCCCTTCTCCTCCATTCTCCTCTCGGGGTCTTGGGCACACATGCACACGCGCCCCACATGCGCCCGGTGTGAGTTTAAGCCACCGAGTCTGGGACTCAAACCACGGTCAACTACATGGAAGCTCAGTGACATAGCCATTACGCTAACTGCTGGTCCCCTCTAGGTCTAGTCTTTATCTTGCTTGACCTTTCAATAGCATTTGCCTGTTCTCCCTGTTTAGGGGAGATTGCTATCCTATGTCTCCTTCTCAGAAAAACATTGTTTTTCCTTTGAATTCAATGACCCTGCATTGTCCTAACTCTTCTCTTCCTGTATCTCTTTCTCCCCTCAGTCTCTTCTCTGCCCTGAGGGAAACCATCACCCTCTCTTTGAGCAATCTTATCCAATGTGTGGTCCCAAGCATTTTCCCTAAGTGCTGTTTCCCAAAGCCTTATCTTCAGTTCAGTCCTCGTCTGTGAGTTCTAGACCCCAATGGCCAGTCAGGAACTTTGACATTTCCATCCGATATCACGTCAAACGATACGTTTCTGCATCTGAATTTATCCCCCTCATGGTTCCCTACCTCCATTAAGTGGCTTCTCCGTCTCACAGCTATCCAACCCAAAACCCTAGGAATGAGTCCTAATTCTTTCTTCTCTTTTGTTATCTTCCTATTCAACCACTAAGACCTATTCCTGATGGTTTTTTTAATATATATATATATATATTATATTACCTAACACTCATTCCCTGAGCATCATCACAACATACTAAATGTAGTTTCCCATCTAGGACAAACTGCATAGTGACTTAATCAAGCAAGTTATCATCAATAATATTCCATTTCTACTTTCATACAATGTATACATACATATATGTTTTTTATCCTATCTTTGACCCTCTGCCCTTTCCCCCTCTCCCATTACCCTATCTCTGCTATATACAGTTGTCTTTCAGGAGAGTTCTTGAAAATGTGATACATGCAAGTAAAGGGAGAAGGGCCACAAGTTTAAAGTTTTCAACAATAGGGAACATAGATTCCATTCAAGGTTGGATCAAGGGTAGGTCTCCTGTGGATCCGCCGTTGTAGGTGAGTCTCCATGGAATACAGTTCTAGGAAAGCGGTTCTGGTAAGCAGAGATGATTATCA